GCATGGAAATGTTGCTTGATTGGTATTAAGGGACCTAACGTGTGTCCAGGAAAACATTCCCCACACCATTACACCACCGCCACCAGCCTGTCCAGGCAGGATGGGGACCATGGACTCATGCTGCTTACGCCAAATCCTGACTCTGCCATCAGCATGACGCAACAGGAACTGGGATTCGTCGGACCAGGCAATGTTTTTCCACTCCTCAGTTGTCCAGTGTTGGTGATCGCATGACCAACTGGAGCCAATTCTTCTTGGTTTTAGCTGATAGGAGTGGAACCTGGTGTGGTTGTCTGCTGCAATAGCCCATCCGTGACAAGGACCAACGAGTTGTGCGTTCCGAGATGCCATTTGCCTGTTTGTGATCCGCCTGTTGCACGATTCTTGGCATTCTCCTTCGACCTCTCATCAACAAGCTGTTTTCGCCCACAGGATTGCCACTGACTGGATGCTTTTTGTTTGTCGCACCATTCTCGGTAAACCCTAGACTGTCATGCGTGAAAAGCCTAGGAGGCCGGCCGTTTCTGAGATACTTGAACCGGCGCGCCTGGCACCAACGATTATACCATGCTCAAAGTCTCTTAGGTCGCTCGTTTCGCCCATTCTAACGTTCAATCGAACAGTAACTGAATGCCTCGATGCCTGCTTTATATAGTAAGCCACAGCCATTTGACTCAGTGGCAAATCATTTTCGTGAACGGGGTGGTGTACCTTATAAACTGGCCAGTGTATAGTAGTAACTATACAGATATAACTATAGATACATCTAACTTATAATGTTACAGTATACAGTAGTAACTATAGAGATATCTAACTTAAGATGTTACAGTATATAGTGGTAACTATAGAGATATAACTATAGAGATATCTAACTTACGATGTTACAGTATATAATGGTAACTATAGAGATATAACTATAGAGACATATAACTTACGATGTTACAGTATATAGTGGTAAATATAGAGATATAACTATAGAGACATCTAACTTATGATGCCACTGCATATGGCATTTTTACATTTTTACTGTTAGGTGTGTTAGGATACTGGAGATACATTACAGAAATTATAACTGCCTGATGTTTCACTCTAATTTGCGTCTTTAGTCATGACAAGTCTTTTGGATTAGTATATCCTGCTGAAAAATGCAGGTCGGGATGCCTTTTCATGAGAGTAGATGTTGTTAGTTGAAGTGATAAGGAATGTGGTGATGGAGATAGGATAATGTATGGATAGAGGATGAAATGGAAGAGATCATGGTATCATGGAGAACAAGTGATGATGGAGGTAGAAGTTTGAGAATTGTCTGATAGGTGTAGATTGGACTCAACCTCATTTTCTCTCCCCATCTATCTCTCTCTCTCTTATACACAGACAGATCTGCAGTGCTATTCTAAGAGAGTTAGCTGCCTCAACCCACGCACCAAATCTGAGAAAGAGAGAGAAAGGGAGAACGAGGGAGATGGGAGAGAGAAGGAGAGAGCGAGAGGAATGAAAGGAGAGAGGGAGAGACTACAGAAAGGTTCAGAATGCCTGTAGAGTGTACTGCAGACACACACACACACACACACACACACACAATCTATCTCTCTGACTGACATACATGCTGCCACTTCAACAACAGCTTTAACATTGTGCATTGTGCAGATCAGATCTTGCAGATGCAAGTGAAAGGACATCCAAACCACTGTCTTCCATCTTATTTAATGCTGGCTGTGTCACCCTATCTTGTTATGTTGTCTGGGTTGTGCATTTGTGGGTCTGTCTAACTGTGGTGTGCTGTGGTGTGCGGTGTTATATTGGTAAGTGCTGGGAGAAATGTACTTGATTCTGTGCCACCCACACACCGCCCTCCCACTCACGACCGTCTCTGCGTCTATACCTCTGGCTCTTCCCGCTCCCCACCAACTCTCTCTGCACATTTAAATCCCGACCCTACATTTATCCCCCTGCTCTCTCTCTCTGTTTCTCTCTTTCTTTCTCTCCCTCGCTCATCTGCTTTTCAGGAGCTGATGCTCCTGCAAAAGGCAGAGACACACTAACACACACACACGCGTAGCATACCTACACGCACACACTGTGAAGGAGTAGCCTTGTATTTATTGTGTATTTATTTATATAGGATCCTAAACTGTCAATTAATTATCACATCCTTCCAGTTAATTGATCTTTATTCATCAGCTCAACCTTTACCTGTTAGTTTGTATGTTAGAATGAGTGACATTCTCCTTTAATTGTGTGAGCTGACTGCGTTCAAGCCTTGTTAATTAGCTGATTGCACTTGCACACACCTGTGGCCTGCAATCTGAGGCGCTTCAGTTTGTTTAAATGGAGGATGGTGTTCTGTGTGTGTGTGGGACTGCTGGGATGTCTGCAAGTTTTTAATAAAAAGAAGCTATTTATTCCGATATCACTATCTCTGTCTCATCAATGTGAGGGCATCGGCCAGCTATGTCACACGCATAACACCACACAAATTCAGGTGCATATGGCTGGCTGTCCTGCACACAGACATGCACGCACGCACACACACACACACACACACACACACACACACACACACACACACACACACACACACACACACACACACACACACACACACACACACACACACACACACACACACACATAGCATACATACCTACACACACACACACACACACACACACACACACACACACACACACACACACACACACACACACACACACATACATACACACACATACACACACGTAGCATACATACCTACACGCACACACACAACAGCACACAAATTCAGGTGCATACAAGCATGCATGGTGCACACTTATTGACAAGTTCAATTCAAAATGTATAGCTAGAAATTCATAGCAATTTCTGAGTGTCTTACAGAGTGTGTTGTCTGTGTGTTGCTGTGGTGTGTGTTGGTGCTTTAGGATACGAGCGAGTGTGTTTGTTTGTGTGTGTGGGGTGGGGAGGGGGGGGGGCTTGAAGTCCACTCTCCTAATTGATTCTTTCTGTGTTCCATACAGGATCCACAAATCTGTGAAGACATTCCAGGCCTGACCCCCTTCATCCAAATGTGAAGACAATCCATGAAATCAAGCAGAACTTTCAGGGAACAGAAGAGTTCTTTATAAAAAAGTGATTTGGAACAACAGTGAGAACTGCTGGTTGTATTCTCCAACAGTGAGACCTGCTGGTTGTATTCTCCAACAGTGAGACCTGCTGGTTGTATTCTCCAACAGTAGGACCTGCTGGTTGTATTCTCCAACAGTGAGACCTGCTGGTTGTATTCTCCAACAGTGAGACCCCCCCCCCCCCCGCCTCCCTTATCCATGCCTACATGCTCAGCGACAGATAGGGACTGTTTTGATAATTGTATGTAATTATAATTTGTGTGGGAGACGGAGCTGTCTCTGTCTATTATCACCTGTAACCTCAGACACAATAACTTCCCACATTTACATATTTATCTCAAACAAAATGTTTTTCTTTCAGTTTTAGGACCAAATCAGGAATAATCAGAGTTATTGAAGGAATGGCTCATGTGAACAATGTGCTATTCAGTCCTCAACCATCATAATGAGACAAAACTGAATTCAATCTGTAGATTTACATCTACATCTCAAGCTCTTTTCGTTGTATATTCTATACTAGATCATAAATACTAAGTTTGTACATCTAAAAACAGAGGTACCCACCAAGCCACTAGCTAAAATGAAAACAGCTTTTTCAGCTGTCTATTTGATATAATACGATTTGTCGTACCGTTGTATATTTTCTCCTCATTTGCGGTATTCACTGTCCTCTGTCCTTAATGTCGGGCGCTGGCTCTGTAGCCTTCAGCCCAATCAGAGGAACAGTAAGTGCCTATGCATTTTAGATAAGACCATAAAACATTTAAGTAAATAAGTGGCCAATGCATATCTGTAGTTAGTGACCTGTGATGTTTAAAAGCCTGGAAGGGCAATGTCCTGCTTTACAGTCACACAGTAATGTTTACACTACGCCACAGCCATTCAGTGCCCTGACCCGTTAAGAACCACAACCTCTCCAACTGCCATTCAAAGGGTCTGCAACATCTAAAAGCACAGGAACACTAATTATTTAGAATTATTACAAATCATTTATTTAGCACAAGATTGAAACATTTATATGTAGAGATTTTGCTACTATTTCAGAGAATATTAGTTTACAGGTTGATTCTAAGTGCAGACTTGGAATGTATCCAGTGCCAAAAGGACATAATTGAATCATTAACAGAAAAGTAACTGTTTACATTTTAGGAACAATGTTTACAGAGGACTGTTGCCCTTAAAAACATAGGCTATGTGTCATTTTGTGACATATTATTGCCATAACCGAAAGGAAATGTATAAAATTGCCATAACTAATTGAGGAAGCTTACTTCTTGTCTTCAGCAAAACAAAGCACAACGTATTCAGGAAAACGTGATGGTGAAGGTCAAAACCTTCTGTTTGATCTTTCATCCAAGGAGATTCCATCTATCTTTGTATTTTTGCTTCATAGCTATGTTTTGTATGGTAGATAGATTCTAGATCTAGGAGAAGAAATAGACGATCCAGGTTTGATCAAGATCATCATGTTCAATTTACCCTTGTTTACTCTGTGAGGCTTATACAGATCTGATTTTATTGTAATGGACTGCAAAATATTATCACAGGAAATGTTAAAGATAATAGTAACAGAATGAGAGCCCTGTAAATACCTCTGTCACCAATGGTTGACACTTACAACTTTATATTAGTGGAGTTCTTTTCTCTTTTATCGTGACTTCCATCTCTTAAAGCGTATCTATAATTAATTCACAAAGTTCATCAGACATATTTATTATTAAATTAAGATATTTTGAAACTATGAGTACCAAACAACTCATACCTGCTACCTAAATGTTTCAAATAGTGTTTTAGTGGGTTAATTCTGAAAAAAGGATACAGCATTGTAACAGCGTTGAGTCGACAACAGAAAATAGAGCTCTTAGTCATGTAAAGATGACGCCCACCACCAATCTCCAAGTCTTCGCCGTCTCCCTCCTCTCTCTCCTTGCTGCCCCACTTAACACAGCTGAGGACAGCTCCCCCTCTCCCCCTCCCTCTCCCCTACGTACCGACCCCCGGCCTCGCCAGGGGGGCTCCACCGACCCCCCTCAGTCCACCCCCAGCCCCCCTCTCCTCCTCCTGGCCATCCATGCCAACCTCCGCCCCGCTGCCCTCCAGGGCAGGCCCAAAGCTCCAGAGAAACTTCCAGAATCCCCTGGGGTTCTGGAGACCCCTCCCCGACCCCTGGCCCAGATCATGTTCCCCAAGAACGTGACGTCTGCGGCGGCGGGAGCCCTGGCTCCTCCGTTGGGCGCGGCCCAGGTGGCTCCTCCTCCCCGCAGACTGGTGGATGTGGACGTGTGCCATGGTTACTATGATGTTATGGGCCAGTTGGACAACACCTTCAACTGCTCCAAGGACAGCTTCATCTACTGCTGTGGCAGCTGCCACTACCGCTTCTGCTGCCCCGACCCCACCCGCCGTCTGGAGCAGAGCAGCTGTACTAACTACGACTCCCCGGATTGGGCCAAGACCCAGCCGCCAAACGCCATACCCCTGGACGATGATGTGCCGGAACTGGACCCTCTGCAGCCATTGAGCCACAACACAGGCTTTGTGATTGGAGGCGTTATTGTGTTTATGGTAGCGGTTGCCGTGGGGATTAAGATAATGTTCAACAAGGTGTCGCAGCAGGCCAACAACGGAGAGATCAACATGCCCAGGTGAGAGGAGGGGTCAATCAGTCACAGACCAGACAGACAGGCAGAGCATAAGACAGACAGACAGTCAGATGGACAGTCAGACAGACAGACAAACACAGATTCTTTAGTAATTTCATAATGTTGTTATAACATGTTTATATAGCATTCATAAGATCAGACAAGATATAATATTGTTGATGCCAGGGGGGGAACTGTTATTACTCCAGGCAATAAAACACATTTTACACCAGCTAATTACTTATACATTTACATTTTTTACATTCTCTTTTTGGTTTCTCCTTCTCTCAGAGCGCTGGTGGACATGTTGCGTCACCAGTCCAGTCCAGTGCAGCAGGATGAGAGGAACAACAGCGTGGCTCTGTGTGGTTCAGGGGAGGGACAGGGTACGCTGGGCAGACCTCCCAAAAACCTCTACACCCCTGGCCTGCCCAGCAAGGACAACAGACGTGAGTGGCCAGGGGAGCATTCAGTTGGAACAAACAGGAAACATGTTTTTGAAATGAAAAAGGGAAATGAGGACAAGCTCACATAGTACACTTCTGTTTCAAAGTCGTTTCTCCTGTTTTGTGCTGTTGTTGGGCTTTAGGCTTATTTCAAACTGTCTTGTAAGAAAGGGGAAGGTATAAAAGGGATTAGATTAGATGAGGTTATTAGTCACATGCACAGGGTTGCAGATGTAATCGCAGGGTACAGTGAAATACTTATGCTCCGAGCTCCAACAGTGCAGGTCAAAAAAAGAGAAGCGAGTGATGGAAGCGGGGAGAACAGGCCATGATGGCTCGGGTGGCTGAGGTCCTTGATGATCTTCTTGGCCTTCCTGCGACACCTGGTGTTGTAGGTGTCTTGGAGGGAAGGCAGTGAGCACCTAATGGTGCGTTTGGCTGAGCGTACCACCGTCTGTAGTGCCTTGCGGTCAGTGGCGATGGAGTTGCCGTACCAGGATGTGATGCAGCCTGACAGTAGTCTCTCGATGGTGCTCCTGTGAAACACTGTGAGGGCCCTCGGAGACAGGCCAAATTTATTCAGCCTCCTGAGGTTGAAGAGTCGCTGCCGTGCCTTCTTCACCATGGTGTCTGTGTGGTTTGACCATTTCAGCTCATCGGAGATGTGTACGCCATGGAACTCAAAGTTTTCATAGAGGGACAGTTATGTATATTTGAAACACAGTGCAATACCTTGGTTGATTCCCACAGGCTCAATAAATGATAAGTGAGTGAGCATGTAAAGGTGAATTGGCCCAGGTAATGTAAAAGAGGATGGATGCCTTGATCTTAATGTGGTTAATACACCATGAAGCTGGAAATCGCCTGATCAAATCAAATCAAATCAAATCAAATCAAATTTTATTGGTCACATGCGCCGAATACAACAGGTGCAGACATTACAGTGAAATGCTTACTTACAGCCCTTAACCAACAGTGCATTTATTTTAAACAAAAAAGTAAGAATAAAACAACAACAAAAAAGTGTTGAGAAAAAAAGAGCAGAAGTAAAAAATAAAGTGACAGTAGGGAGGCTATATATACAATAGAATAAAGTGACAGTAGGGAGGCTATATATACAGGGGGTACCGTTGCATAGTCAATGTGCGGGGGCACCGGCTAGTTGAGGTAGTTGAGGTAATATGTACATGTGGGTAGAGTTAAAGTGACTATGCATAAATACTTAACAGAGTAGCAGCAGCGTAAAAAGGATGGGGTGGGGGGGCAGTGCAAATAGTCCGGGTAGCCATGATTAGCTGTTCAGGAGTCTTATGGCTTGGGGGTAGAAGCTGTTGAGAAGTCTTTTGGACCTAGACTTGGCACTCCGGTACCGCTTGCCGTGCGGTAGCAGAGAGAACAGTCTATGACTAGGGTGACTGGAGTCTTTGACAATTTTGAGGGCCTTCCTCTGACACCGCCTGGTATAGAGGTCCTGGATGGCAGGGAGCTTTGCCCCAGTGATGTACTGGGCCGTACGCACTACCCTCTGTAGTGCCTTGCGGTCAGAGGCCAAGCAGTTGCCATACCAGGCGGTGATGCAACCACCACGGTGATGATAACATCCACAATTTAACACATCATACAGTATAACCCTCTGATGTCTCACTCACATACACACACACATTATGTACACACTGTTGCTCCACAGCTGATGACTGTTTATTTGTTTGTTTTGCAGTGGGGAATATTCAACACAATTTTATCCACTCAGGAACCAGTCCCAATCACACTGCTACCATCGGTAAGACAACTGGTGGTGTAAATGGTTGGTTCCAGTGACATACTGTAATGTATGCATCTGGTGCCCTTCCGTGTTTTACAGTTATTAAACTCACAATAATGTATTGGATGTCAATGATACCAAGCTGGTTAGATAAAGGTTATCCAAAAAACAACAACATCGCATTAAGAAACAAACACACGCTAACATAGCTGTCTTTTGACCCCTCAGAACGCGCCCCCCGTATGAACAACGCCCAGCTGGCGGCTGGAGGCACTCTTCTGTCCAGCAAACACAACAACACTAAAGGGCAGCCCTCCTTCCACCACTCCCTCCATAACCTGGCACAGCTCCCCCCATCCTACGAGAATGCCACCAAGCCAGAGCTCAACAGATACTCCTCGCTCAAACGCCTGGGTGAGTAGTGTACCATGCTGCAACGTAGAGATAGACCCCGTCACACAGAAAACAGCTCTACAACTTATGTGTTTCACTATTCCTCTTTTGATTGCAGAAAAGAGTGGTCTTGATGAATATTCATCGGGATACTGCACCACCAAGAGGCGTCCCCACACGGCCCAGCCCGCTCTCCAGTCCTCCAGTCACCACATCCCCTGTGGCGGAGACTACAACACCATGGGTGGGAGGGGCACCCTCCCCCGCCACGCCCCCCGACCCTGGATCCAACCCACCGGCCTACCCCCCGTCTCCCCCACGGTCAACCCCTACCCCCTGGACCCAACTGAGCAGCACTACAACCCCAACTACGACACCCTGTCCAAGCCTGCCAGGAAGGTCATGTCGCAGGACCAGCTGCTCAACATGGGGGACGTCCCTGGGAACACTGGGACCCTCTCCAGGATGTCCAAGAACCAGCAGCACCAGTACTACAAAGCCATGGCTGCTGCTACTAAGAACTCCAACACCCAGACCCTGACACGGAAGCCCAAGGATCGACCCCAGGAGCGGCCTCAGTCCAACAACCAGACCCTGACGAGGAAGCCCAAGGATTGGCCCCAGGAGCGGCCTCAGGAGCGTCCTCAGGATCGTCTACTCATGTCCCCAGATCACCTGGAGGAGAGCATGGGTAGAGGGGTCGGTGGGATGGGGGTCGGAGGGATGGGAGTGGGTGTGCCGGATCCATATGCCCATGGAGGCGGGGGAGGCATGGTCCCCACTCTCCCCCGGGGTGGTCTCACTCCTCAGCAGAAAGCCCAGTCCCAGCAGAATGTATGTGCCACACCCTCCCTGGACCGCCACCACATGATCAAGATGAACTCTCACCCCACCTCCGGCCGGGAGCAGGAGAGAAGCCAGGGCATGACAGGGCATATGAGCGGAGGCATGGGGGGAGGCATGGGGGGCTGGGGTGGTAGCGAAATGCCCGGGGCGGGGGTTGTCATGGGAACAGGGACGCTAGGGGGCCACAGCGCTAAGAGGATGGCTTTCGCTGCCAAGAGGCAGAACACTATAGAGCAGTTACACTTTATACCAGGAGGGGGCGACGGAGGAGCGGGAGGAGGAGGAGGAGGAGGAGGAGGAGGAGGAGGAAGTAGAGGAGGAGGAAGTGGAGGAGGAGGCAGTCAGGGCATCAGGACAGGCAGTAAGAATGAGGTGACGGTGTGAGGGGCTCCAGGTAGAAATTGCCTATCAACTGCAGATCTAGGATCAGATTATCTCACCCCTAAACCCACCCTTAACCATTAGGGGGATGAAAAAATATCTGACTCTGTATCAGTGGTTAGGGCAACTTCTACCTACTGTGTGTGTGGTCTTCATGAAGAGAGTAGACATATGAGAATGGGAAAGGTAGAGAAGGAAATGTGGTGAATCAATCTGTACATAAAGGGAGATGAAGGACTTGCTTAGAGATCAACTTGGTTAAAATGGTAGAGGAATGGAATTATCCTGCCATTTTATTTATGTGATACATCAGCCATATTTCATATCTAAATGTGCCATATTGCCATACACTGGTGCCATGAATAACAGAAAAATAACAAATGTGGGAGAAATTAGATAGCTAGGACTTAGTTAAGAAAGTGGTTTGTTCATGCATAACCTTGTGTTTTATATTAAATGTTTTACAGAATAAATAAACTTTTGAGCCATATTAGAAAGGAGGGACCAAGATAATACATCGAAGTATGATAGAGAGGGAAGGGTGGTGTACGGCCAGACTGTTTATCCTCATGGAGCATTGAACTGATGATCTTCATGACCTATGATGTAGAATGTCGGATGATGTGGGGTTTTGAATCCGGGGAGCGGTGTACGAGTGAGCCCGCCTCATTCTGACGCAGGAAAATCGATGTCGATAGTTGCTTCTTGTGTGAATGAATGAGTGACCTTGGGGAGATTGGGGGGGGGGGGGGGGGTTGCAGTTTGCAGTCTGAAGACAGAGCCACCACTTCCTGACACCATCGGCAGGACAGCGCATCAGCTTCCACACATTCTCTAGTTGGCCCCAATAACTGATCTAAGGTCAGTTTTGCATCCCACCACCGCCTAATAGTTATACTCAGCATTTGGGGAGGTTGAGCTGATCCTAAATCTGTGCCTAAGAGCAACTTCTACCTGGAGTTCCCCTGTGACCCAACTGTCTTCATCAGGACAACCAAATCTGATTGAGCCCTGAGTCACTTTGTTTGACGAGGAACTTCTGAGTTGGTCAGCCTTCCAATAGGATGACTAGCCACTGTAACTACAGGGTCTTTTCTTTCAAAGAGCACAAAAAGTACAGTATGATGCAGGTGTTGCACTTCATAATACAACTGACCTTCAAAGCCATGCATTGGGATACAAATAGAATAGCACAGAGAAAGCACGTCTGACAATCACCATTTTATTATTCTCACCAGAGGAGAACTGACACAAGCCAACATTTCTACAGGACAATACAAATTATTGGCTTCAGAGCAAGCCAAAGTGTGTGTGTCTAGGGAATTGACTGTAACAAGGCAGTGGACTATAGTGCATAGGATGACTCCAATGATCAAGCCGTCAGATAGGAGGTTGAGACTCAGAAGGGACTTGGGTGGTTAGGATGCCCTTCATTAGAAGAGGACCTTGCTTTTTCGTAGTAACACACTCCAACCGTTCTCTATTAGGTAGAAATGTCATAATATCAATAATAACGCTTAATATTAAGGGCTATCCTATCCTACATGTGTGGCTTTGGACCATATAATACAGCATATTGACGCTTTCACTTAATTTTTGGTGTTGATATTGTCACTGACGTGTGAGTACTAATGTTCTGTAGATACCTGGAGTTAAACTTGTACAAAACCATGAGCAGTTTTTTTTCCCAGCACAGCTCAAAGAGGGAAACACTAAGACAAAAACTTTTTTGCACAATCCCTGATATTTGCACCAGATACAGACAGGCATACTTTGTATCACGTCTTCGCGGTTTACATTCAGCAAAAAAGGACACTCACTGTCACTGGTAATGCGCGAGGCTGTATGTGTGATAAACTTAAGGGACTTAAGAAAATTAAGAGACTTGTATTAGACTAAGAGAGAAGTATAACTGTATATATCATCTACAGTATACAACTTGTCTCATATTGCTTACAAATGGACAGAAGAAACAAATCTGACATAATTCAGGAGATGAAATTACTGACATGTTGATACAGATTTTCTTTTGACAATCTTCCTATACACAATGGTAACTTACCCAGTGAGCAAAATTACATATTTTAGACGTCCATGGATGTCGGCGTCAAACGGTGCTCACTGGGTAGTCCGTGTCGGTTACTGTCATGATTACGACAAGTGTTATTATTAATGATTATTATAATTGTTGTTATAATTAATGGTTATCTTATAGTTATGATGTTGGTGTTATTTTTCTTAGTGAGATTTTAAGTGTTTACTTGTTTTTAGATACTTATCTTTCTCATGACATTTTGTTTGTTTTTGTTACATCTGAACACAAAATGGGGATTAAAACTAACACTGTCTAATCTTGATGCATGTCAACTCCATGGCTTGGCAATGCATTGACAATATTCCTGAATACAGGGTTTTATTACAGTAGGTTTTGAGACAATGGCCCAATTACAAACCTATCCCTAGTTCCTTTCCCTAGATGGAGCCTTCTATCTAGACTATTTGAAAAGATTGCATAGGTATTAACAAAAGTTGTGTTCATTCCACATGTTGGGGTGGAATCATTATACTCACAGTTCACAAGGTCATACAATATTGATAGGGACTAGGGAGGGATAGGTTCTGGGTCTGGGACCAAATTGAAACACTTGCTAATACCACAGCCTAACCCAATAAAACCCAAAGGGTTAACAACACATTATGTCACAATGTATGTGTTTACATGAATGTCTCAAACACAGGTAGGTAAAAAGGGTATAACAGTAACTACCTGAATGTTCAGTAACAGTGTCTTTTTTCAGGGAATTAGGACAGCTAACCTAGTTTTAGATTTGTATTAAAGTCACAGAAAGTCTGTAGCAATGTCTGTACTATTTCCACAAGCCATAACCATCGAAACAGTCATTACATACACTTCTTCCATTATTTTGTACATGGTAAACCTTTTTTGTGTAAGTATATTGTATTTTGTATAGCTAGTACAATCAGAATATTCTAATGGGTTGTGGCTCTCTTCTATAACACATTAATTTGAGGCTTCAACAAATTATATGTGAGTATTTAGTGGATGTACAGTGACCACCCAAATGCTTAACATTTAACATATTTCTATATAGCCTATTATGTGGCAACAGGGATATTTTTGATGAGTAATGACAAATAACACATGTAATAGATGGTGAATAAAATAAGACACAAAGAGATGAATGAATAGGTGTATGTTTCGACACCATCATGAATTCATTTAAACCTATGTAGAACGAGGAAGGATAAATCTAAATCTAGATTTGTATGAGATTATATAGATTTGTATGGGATGATATTTACATGTGAACTTCATGAATGTTTTCATGACTATTATTAATTTTCATATATAAATGCCTACTTTTAATTTATCCAATGCATTTTGATCCCCTTGGATACAGCAGTGATCGAACACTACATTTGTAAAATAAAGTTGGTGGAAAAGGTTGTCAGACTTGTTTCTTTCATCAGGGTCTTACTCAAGTACTGAATAAATTGTATAATATTGGGAGTGATAAACTAGCCATCCTACTCAACTATTCCCATATGAAGTGACTTTCCTGACAGGTAAGATGGAATAAATGTTAAGACATTCTGTGGGAAGTTGTTCCTAAATCTACAGTAGGCTACAACTAAATTACTAACTAATAGGGCAACCGCCCCCCTGGAGAGATACCGTCCTGCAAGCCTTAATTTCAACGAAATTTTAACTGTTCCCCCAGGACCATAATTAACTGAATCAGGTATGCTACCACGGGTTTGGAGTAGAAGCCTGCACCTGTAGCCTTCAGGAGTTACCGTTGATCCAGGGAAACATTACCATTTCAATGAAACAACAAATTTGCATGACAAAGCCTGTCACCCCGCACGTGCCAGAATGACAAGCATACAACTGTGTGTCCAAACATCTAGGCATTTTTAAAATCTTTTATATGAAATCCAATGAAATGCAACAGTTAGCAAATACACGGCAGCCATTTTAACAAGTCTGGTTGGTGAATGCTATGCCCAGCTGCAGCATGAAGCCAGTTTAAAATGGCTTCAACCTCACGCAGAGTCGGAATCTATTTCTGACAGATTTGTATCACATTATTTGTCATTCGGATACCTACACGGGTGACGACTTGACAATAATATATCATTTAAAATATTTACCAAATGGAAATAAGAATAATTCAATGCAAAATATCAGTTAGATATAGATAGCATGCTTGCTATCCAAAACAACTACTGAACGACAGGTTATGCTACCCGGAAATATTACACGGGCCGGAAAGGACCAATGTTAAGTGAGCACACGTCATTCCCTTTTACCCCCCAAAATTATAACCGACCGTCCAAAACATTTAAGCCGACAAAAACATCACCAACTCATCATTACTAATGGGAATTGATGCTGTCAAATGGCGTGGAAAAGGTTGCAGCCTCAAATACTGAGTATTTTGAGCGAAAGGGAGCCGAGCATTCACCTAGCTCAGCATCAGTGAACATGGCTATGGCTAACGAGTCGAAAACAGTACGCAGAAATGGAGAGCTAAGCGAATGGTAGCTAGATGGTAGGAAGGCGTGACAGGCCGCATCCTGAGCGTGTACTTGATGTGTAGGTAAAGAAGCATTTTTCTATTTCATTCTGCCGAGAGGCATTCATTGTCTTTTGAATGCATATTCTTTTGATGCTATAGATAGCAAGCAGTGTGTGTTGTGTATTTGTATGGGTTGCATGCGAAATCTGCTAGCTAAATAGCAGAATATTATACCAAAAGCTGTCAGTTAGGCATGTAAGCTCGTTTTTGCAAAAACCCTAATGTTTGTCAAAGCAATCGTGCAACCTG